GTTAAATATAGACACCTAGCACCCCTGTAGACCACTAGAACTTATTTTTCCCAATTTGTAATTTTGTATTCGTTAGTTCAATGCTGTGGAGAGAATTATCCTTTAATGGAAACTATCTTGTGATGATAAAAAGAATTTGTATAGTCTAATGTTCACAATGAATTTCCTAAAAAGGGTATAATGTGCAAATCTTTAGAAATACAGTAATAAAATTTAGCTAGCTTACTATATTTATGTTTTTTGCATGTTTTGTTTGTTTTGGCAGCGGGCCAGTACAGGGATCGAATTCTGGACCTTGGTGTTAACAGCACCATGCTCTAACCAACTGAGCTAACCAGCTGGCCTGGTATATTTGTGTTTCGATAATTACAATTATCTTTCAAAATAATCATCAATTGAGTTTTCCTAACACCAACAAACATAGTCTTTGTATTCCCCTGTGGTACTCAGAACACTGCTGGGCTGGGTGCATAAGAGGACTGTGGCAAATGCTTGCTGACAACTGGCAGAGAAGGGAGCTAGAGAAAAGCATGTGAGATACCTGGAACATCTCCATCATTTCAGCAAGTATGGAAGCCTCGGTATCTTTGAGTCAGTCATAGAGTGTTCTAGAAATGCCGATGGATGTAACAGGTGCAATGTCTCTGCATTTGTTTATTTTGGAGCTGATCTTGAGCTTCCCTAACCTCTTGTGTTTGTTTTCCTTCAGTGACAGAAATAGTAGGTTCAAAACAAAGGAGGATTGTGGGAATAGTGATTCAAATATTCTTCACCCTTGGAATCATAATTCTCCCTGGAATTGCCTACTTTATCCCCAATTGGCAAGGGATGCAGCTGGCCATAACGCTGCCCAACTTTCTCTTCCTCCTTTACTACTGGTAATGTGGTTTTAGTCATTATCATATTTATACTTATTCCACAAAAATGTAGAATCCAAACCAATGTGAAAATGAAAGCAATAAAGGAGATATTCTGACATCTCCAGAACGGCTATGCACTTTGAGAATTTTTAGAGAATTTGAGAATTTATAGAGGTTATTTATTGATTATTTGATTAACAGTGTCACTAAAAATAAATTAATCAAATACCAAAACACAAAACTGTAACTACAGCATTGCATTATGTTTTATTGTTTTTCAATATTTTCTTGAAAACTATAAGGCAACAAACTATAACTGCCAGTATTTCAATATGCAAATTAAAGTCAATGCAATTTATTCTCTTCTCTGTATGTTCTATTATGTAAATAAATATTATTCAGAAATTAATGTTAAGAGCATCAGAAAATTAAGTTATCAAGAAGCTACAGTGGTCTGGTGACGCACTGGAGAGTGCGCCACTTGGGAGCATGGCGGCGCTCCCACCGAGGGTTCGGATCCCAT